GTTGGCAAACAATGAATTGGTGCATTACCGCCACCAACTGGTATGGAGTGTGGATCAGGATGTCTAGTACTGATTTAAAAATTCAAAGAAAAAAGAAACAAAAAACTAAAATATATATATATTTTTTTACTATATTGATCCCAGAAGGAATCAATATAGGAAGGAAAGCCTGTCATTGTCAGTGGGCTGCCAATGACAGGCGCCCGGGGAGCCATTAGGGGTTCAGAGTCTTGCTCAGGGACACTTCCGACACAATGATCGAACCGTTGACCCTGCAGTTACCAAACAACCCTCTTAACCCAGTGAGCCACGGTATAGTCCTTTATTATACTTGATAACACTCACTTCTTGACTTCTTTTGCAGAATATATACACTATATCCAACCGTACCTTCATCTTGCCGAGGTCTCCAATCAGCTGCCCTCTTTCCTGCTCATATTTCTGACATTGCACAATAACATCATCTCAAATGTCTCTTACTCTTATTTCTCTACAGACCACCATTGTCCAAATGTGAATTGTATGATCAGCTTATTTCCATGTTAAAGGAATGTGACTTTGACAAAGAGGTTATATTAACAATATCAAACCCGTGTCTGTGTGATGTCGAATTATGTTCCACAGCTGTTCCCCACCAAACTGAGGTTGTTGGATTATCATATGTGTGTCAAACACAATGCTGGAATGTAGAAGCTGTGACCCTTAAAGGAACGAGTTGAGCATTTTGGAAAATACACTTGTTTGATTAATTTGATGGGAAGATACACTCTGCAAGATTATGAATGAACGAGTTTTTAACAATATAGCTGGACAATAACCTGCCACTAAAGTGGATGCAGACAATAGTTCTGCATTTAGATTGGTAGTGGGAATAATATATTTACAGGGACAACATAGAGGAGTGTACCATCATTTGGAGTCGAAGCAGTTTCTGGTTTTTAAGTCAATTTTATTTATCTAACCCAATATTATAAATCACAAATTTGCCTCAAGGGGGCTTTAAACGTGTGTGCAGCCTCCAGCACCCTCTGTCCTTAGGCCCTCGATTCAGAGGACCCGAGCTGAACCCCAGTGACGGCTTTAAAAGCAAACCTCTTTAAGTTCTCCTCATTGAAGCGACGGAACTGGAGGAAAGTCAATCTTAAAAAATGCCTATTGGGAGTGTCCTCTCAGAAATATATTGTTGGCACACTTAAGACCTGGCACCAGCTCAAAGAAACCATTCGGGGAGGCAATCATCATTATCCTTTGCTGTGTGGATGGATGCCTATCGATTGTAGAGCCAGCTACTGGTGCAGTGTTCCCGGGCGGGGGGGTGCTTCAACCTTCAGCTGCAGAAGTTTCCGGTTTGGTGCTGATCCCCTCGTTCCCAATCTGTGATTTTAAACCGGCTCCTGTCTCTGACATGACACGGTGCTCATCGGAAGAGCCCCAGTTTGGAGCTTTCCCACTCTTATCATCTCTGAACAACCTTTACCGGCCACCTCTCTTCCACCACACTCCAGCCTGTAGTGACCTGTGCTGTGTGTGTGTGTGTGTGCGCACACACGTATTGTTCTGAGTTTACAATAAGTGACCTGCCAGAACGAGAGAGCCGGTTCAGAGAAAGAGCTGCTGACGTGTTTATCGTTCTGCCAATACAGCCGCTGAAAGGCTCTCCATTATGTTTGGATGCTTATTTAAAGTGTCCCGGCGCTTTTCATCGTTTTCCTCATCAAAAATAGTCTTTTTTTTCCTATTGCACACGGACAGTGCGATGACATAACGTAATAGAAATAGAACAGTAGAGGAGTGCTATGAGAAAAAAAGGACTTTCACAGCAGTGTATTAACAAAAACAAGTCGCCTACATTTTCAACAGTAGCAGTACCCTTTTACATCAGGACTTCTATACATTTTCCACATGAGTCCTATTTCATTAAAGGCTCTCTAAGCTGACGCCACCAAAAAGAATGAAATATAAAATGTATTTACACATTCAATGTCAGCCGTTTCTTCCAGATGTTCAAACTTACCTTGTCTGCATGTCGTCCGTAATGTCTTCCTTTCACTTTTACTTTGCACACATTTGAATATTATGTGAAAGCTAATGAGTATGACACAAATGTGAGACACAGGGCCTTCCATCTTATTCAGTAAATCATAACATATAATTGTTTTTAAGGCAGTACTACTGAGTTTGAATCAGCTCTCAAATACATCATTAGCTTTCCTGGGGGGGGATACAGGGAGCAGTACCGTATGGCGACAGTTATCCTTATTAGGCTCCTCAGCTTGGAGTTTCAACTCAAACGTTGACTTTGATTTGTGAAAAAGTCTTCATAGAAGCCCTTCTGTCTTGGTGACATGAAGGAAGTTGAATGTTGGGCCCATGAAAAGTTTTTATTTATTATTTTGTCCATGCTCTCCATCAGTTCATACAACAGCGCTGACAGACTTTGCTCTGAAAGTTCAGGAGAGGGATCACCTGCAGGCGAGGCTCAGGTTCCATCCCCTCACATTCGATGTGCACCTGTCTGAACATTGCATGCTGGGAGGTTGAGTTTTGGACGAAACAGGCTACCGAGTTTTGAGTCCTTGCTTCCGCGCTTCACTGAAGGCTGTTATTGCTGATATAAGGGGATCTCTGTAGAGGCCACTTCTCCATAGACGTCCATAGAGTCCGGCCCCCCTTTTTAAAGTCCACTCCCTCAGTTATCACATCACGCTTTGAAACTCACCACCCTCAAAGAGAAAGACACACGGGAATACTAAAGGGCTGATCCTGGACGTGGAATGTAACAGTTCACAAATCTATAACAAAAGCATGAGAGAAGTTAGAGGACAAAAGCAGATGTGACCAAGATGGCCGTCACTGTCGGTACGTGTTCAGATCAGAGAGGCCTTTTATTATGCGCTCTGTGTCTTCTGTCTGGGTGACTCAGCTCTGACGTCATCGCAGCACATCGAAGAAATGGCTCCCGAAATTAGCCAGGTGGCGTCTGGATTCCCTGAGGGGGGATTGGGGGGGGGGGGGGGGGGGGGGGGGGGGGGGAGAGGGGGGGGGGGGGTGAGCGCACGAGAATGAAAACATTTCCCACAGGAGTTTCTGCCTGAAAAAATAAATGAAATAGGACACCATAACAACAGGACTGCTCTGGTGGCACCTTGTTAGAATTAAAAGAAAATAATTCAATAATACACTTTTTATGAAGGAAATAAGGTGTGGAAGAGGTACAGCGGACAATTTCGACCAAGTGGATGCATCTCAGAGCCACGCAGTGACGGGACATGTCTGTGGGTGTGTTGATAATGCGCTGACCGAAGGTCAGAGGGGAGGGGGGATGAAAATGTCTCTAGCGCCGTTTATGGGCTTTGGTCCCTGGGGTTGGGGGTTGGTTTATCTGCAGTCTCTCCACTGCCGGAGCCTAATCTCTGCTGCCCCCCTCATGGTACAGCAGTTATTTAGCATGGCATGGCCTCTGAACTCTACGCCGCGGACTCCACTCTCAGGGCGGCTCCGGCCGGGCCGTTGCCTGACCCTCCGGGGTCATGCAGCCTCAGGCCCCATGCCAAAGCTGAGCAAGCGGTCGCCGAGAGGGCCCACAAGTCCCGGCCTCATCCTGACAAGCAGATGGACTTTAAAAGGGGGAACCGCTTGTTCGTGATTACACAAGGACTTTTGGGGTAAAGAGAAGGCGTCCTGGCAGTCACACCTCAATGATGTTGACGGATGGCATCCTGTTGTTGTTGTTGTTGTTCTTGGGGAACTGCGGGGGGAGAGGAGAGGAAGATGACAGGTCTGAGAGAGAGGCTGGAGTTGCTGCTTGTTTGCAGCAAGAGAGCAAGAGGGAGAAAGATTTGTTTTCTGCACTGGAAATTAATATTATGATATGGGCCTCTGTGCATTGATAAGAAGCCAAGACGTGTGTGTTTGTTATCTGAATGTTGCAAAGTCATGCACATGATGGTGTCATGTGGAAGCACTGTTAAAGCCGAGGTCGACGCTATGATTGTGCATGAAGTGTCGGTGGAAGAAAAGAAATCTATTAGTGGCCAGGATCATTCACCTGCCCGGTGGGAGGGAGGAGGAGGAGAGGGGGGGTGGGGGGGTTATACCTTACTGCGCAACAGCCCCCCCGTCGGATGCTCAGGAGTGCTGCACTCGGAGGAGTTTTTGGCTTTGTCCTTGTTGTTGTTGGGCTCGTTGTCTTTGATTATGTCGTACTGGCGACAGAAGAGAGCGATCACACCTGAGGAGAGGAGAGGAGAGGAGGAGAGAGGAGAGAGGAGAGGAGGAGAGGAGAGAGGAGAGGAGAGGATAGGAGGAGAGAGGAGGAGAGAGGAGGATAGAGGGGGAGAGGAGTGGAGGTCAAACACAAATGAACGCTCATGCTTTTTGTATTTTCTGGTCCTTTCGAGCGAGATCATGACAGAAAATACCGCGTGCGAAAGCGGTGTGATCCTGGTTTGGTCCTCACCTGCCCACATGATGAGCACCACCACGATGATGATGAGCTCCCCCGCCCTCAGCTGGGTGGTCTGGCCCACTTCTTCCATCGTAACTTCGTCTGGAGGAGTCAAGGGGCGACATGTTTAACTGATTGTTGGTGGGAACGGGTTATGATTGACTTAAAAAGTCAAATTCTGCATTATGACTGAAACACAGTGGAGAAATTAGCAAATATTATCATGATTTATCATTGAATGATTTTCTGCAGTCACACTTATATTCATTCAAATGTCCCATCATACTGCCTCACTGTAGAAGAACGGGGTCAGAGCCCCTCATTAACAGCAACCTTTAAAATTCAATTTTCTCTTGATGTTGCCAACATGACCTGAAGTTTGGATGATTCCCCTTTCACACTCAGTTGCCTGTCACAATGTTTTTTTGCATCATGGCAGCCTGTTATATTCCGCATCGAGGTGCTAATGTTTCCTAGTCTTGAGGCGAGGAAGACGAGGAGTTAATTGGCTTTGAACAGCAAAATGCTTCCAACATATCAGCAAAATAGTTTCCTGTTTATTCTCACTGAGTCTAATGACTGACACTTCAAGCACGCTGAGCTTGGAGGCAAATAAGTCAGCATCCCCGTGTTTATGCCACGCTGCTCTCTTGTAATAAGAATTGCCAGGTTGCTCTATCACAGAGCGAGCACACGGAGGCCCGTGCACGATGTAACCGCTTTGCATCAATCAAGAGGTTTGGAATTTGTGACACAGCTGATTCAACATTCAGCCATCAAGCGGTAAACAACTCCTGATGTCCATTTCTTTTCTTTCTTACGGGACAGAACGACAATCATTATTGAAGGAGGGTGGTCAGAAAAGGGGTTGGGGTTATGAAGTTGTTCCTTTGGCTTAGAGACATGGGGTGCATGCCTTAACTTTTTCTCAGCACAAATTCTTATTTTATTTCGGCCTTAAGCATATAACATATGATCGACAGTAATGATCGACATGAAGTTGCAGTTGAGACTCTGTGTCAAACTGTTGCAAAAAGACGTGCAGCCCCGCTGTTGATAAGACTGGAGACAAACTTCTACCAGACAATATGACTGAAGGACGCGGTCAGATGTGGACATGTCTTCATAGTCACGTGTGGATTTGATCTCAGGCCTGTTTGCAGGCTGATTGGATGAAACTTCGATTACAGAGGTGAGATGTGACCGTAAACAACACGCGCGCACAATATGGAAGTGAACAAAAACAAAGCTTCCGGCAGCCAAGAAAAGTTTTTTCAACAAGTTTCAGTTGACGATTTCATTAAAATTCTCTCTTCTACTGAGAACTTGTTGCATCCTGGCAAAGACTAAAGACTGTAAGAACATAAGCTTAATGTTATAAGGTCAGGCTTACAAACTACTTCATGGTCATATTTTTAATTACATCATTGACTTTGTCACTGCACCTTCTATTGATATCTGATCACATAACAAGTACTGTCTCATGTCTCGGCAGGGATATCTGCAAGCAGCGCCCTTCATTAGCTTCAGTATTTTAGGAACTGCTCTTACAACTTTCATACCGTCATAAGTCGATGAATTCTTTAACCTTTGACCATTCGCAGTTATTAACTTTGCTTCTGCTGTGGTATTGGTAATAACCAATCCCATGTGGAGTGAATGGGATCATTTAGTAAGGCACTTTACCTCACTTTAGTTCTCATCGCACATATGGAACAGGAACAGACCCGATTGAACTATGTTTCGCAGTCATTTTTATCCGCTTGGGGTTTCATTGACATACTCCATTTGAGACAGTTGCAGTACGAGGTCTGCTCTCTTTCTTTTAGGATATTGAACTCCCTCACATGGTCCTCAAGGGTTTCACGGCTGTCTCATTCCCTGAATGCTCAGATCTCCGTCTAGACTCTCTCCATCCATAAGGAATGCTGGCTCTCTTATGTCAGCCAGTCTTCACCTCTCCCTATTATGTGTTAAATTGCAGGTGCAGCAACGTAAATGGCAGGGAGCTGAAGCACACGGGGGTTACAGCAGGAAAGTCGGGATTTTCAAAAAAGGCTGACTTCATACAGCCGGGCATCTTGAACTGAATAAACACAGCCAGACACACGTCCTGCATGAGCGGCTATAGAAATGTGATCGCTTATAGCACTGATTCTGTGAGCGCCCGACGGAGTCAAAAGATCACAGAGAGGCAGAACATGAAGGGAATATAGTCAAGGCTTCATCCAGGCCACTGGGGATCCTTCGTACTAGAGCGCGATGGAGGGATAAAGCAATGAAAAGAGTTAATCACAGCACTCGGGATCAATTCTCCGCAGCCTCAATTAAATCCCACCATGGTCTTTGAAGTCGTATGACCATCGGGATTAATATCAAAAGGAGTAGCTCGTGTTTTTTTCTGTGCTTGCAGCAGTCTGCCTGCAGACGTCGGCAGGAATATATCGGGCAAGGCAACGACTCGTAGGAACTTTTTCTTGCACAGTGTGTTGGAAGTCAGGGGCAGCGTAGGGAGCTCTCCTGTCCTTTTGTGCGATGCAGTATGTGACATTTTGGAGGGCCAAGTGTGGCAGGAACCCCACGCTCCAGTAGATTTTTTAGCAACAAGCCATCCTGCGGATCGATTGGCCTCTGTTGCCCAGTATTAACTAATCAAAGCACAACAGCCCGTGTCGCCCGACGCTGCTGCCAGCCGGCCTCACTGGGGCAAACCGGTCAGCTGTAAACACCTCTGATGCACAATGACCAATCGCTAGACAAGGTTGTTTGTTTTAACAGCTTCAGAGTTTAATTCACTTTTAAGATTTGAGCTCGAGAGTTGCTGTTTTGTCACTTTTTATAATCTGATATTTAGTTTGTCGTACTTAAACCCAACGCTCCTACAGATGGAGATCACTATAACGATGGATGGACCGACATTCTGTTTTGTCATCATGACTTCGTAAAGCTTTAGTCATGTCATTGGATCAAATCAATAGAACTATAGCAACAATTTGGCCAATTGTGACCTCCATGACGTAAACTGCATCTTGAAATGAGGTAGTTTTGTTTGGGCTCGACCTTTCTGTAAAGTCTTTCTTTTAATTTGGATGTTTTTCCATGTTTAATAAATTCAGCTTGTCTTATATGTTATGTTAATATTTGATTTATGTAAAAAAAAAAAAGCTGCATGTCCCAAAGTTTCTCTACATTCCACTAGGAATGAATTGTTCGATGATATTTTTAACTAATGTATTTCTTTAACATTCTTTGGCCCATTTAAAGACTTTAGCATCTGTCTTTTGATGTGGCACTTTAAATTTCAATACATATTTACTGCACTTCAGGTCTCCAAAGTCCCAGAAAACAACACTGAGGACATAATGTCTGTGTGTTCGGTGGTAGCTACAGTAAGACCCTGCTGGAGTTTCCAGTCTTTATGCTAAGCTAGGCTACACATGTCCTGACTGAACGCACAGATCCCTCCTCTCATCTCACTCCAGGAATAAAAGCGCATGGGTGTATTCACCAAAACCTTGAGCTTTTTCCTTTAAGGCACCAAAGTCATATAGGATTCTTCCCTCCTCTTTTATGTGGCTGCTTCTGCTTCAGTCGCCATAAAGTGTAAAAGGAGAGTAGTTTTGTTCATCCTATGGGACGTAGCAGAGCTGAGGAGGGATGCTGTCTGGGTAGATATCTCACAGTATTTTATTGCAGCCCTGTTTTAAAAATAGACTTTTGCTCCATCCTTGTTTTTGGGGAAGTTTTCCTGTGGGCTAGGAGGAGAAAGTTCTACGTTTATTAGATCTGAGGAGACCGAGGACCCTTTTGATTCACCATGTTAGTGTGTCTGGTTGTCCAGAGAGTGTACATTTGTACAAAAACACACATAGTAGGCTTTAATTGTCTATTACTACTGACTACCACTTTATCCCATTCTTCTCCTCTCTGTCATTCACTATCTGTCCCCCCCCCCCCACCACCACACACACCCCGCATCTTTCTTGCTTCCTTTGATCTCCTGTATCTTAAACCCATTGTTAAAGGGGAAATTAGATGAAAGATGGAATGATCCGAGCATATCAGGCTCATCCTTTGCTCTTCCTGCTGAGATCAGCATGATATGGCAGAACACAAGGGCCGAGCAGTCGAGTGAGGATGTTGGAAACTTCCCTTTTCTTCGAGAGATGTTCGCCTGTCATATCGGAACAATGGACGACCATCTGTACTGGCAGATTCTCTCTCTGACAATCATCTGCTCTGAAAAGACAAACTTCCTTCATAGTTTTCTCTTTTTGCCTCATTGTGTGCACCAATCCTTTCCAGTAACCATTTAACACTTTTCTTGTCGTCAATGTGCCGAATGATGAGCAGGTGATGTAATTTGTACCGGCTGGAAAGAAAATCATGCAAAAATGAAGCCCTTCATTATAAAAGCCCAACATGTCCTGGCAGATTTGAACAAATCCCCATCTCGCTCTTACAGGGAAATGAACACTCGTTTTGACGGCGTGTCGTGGATCCTGACTTCTAATGACACTTGATTTTCCACTGATTTACAAAATGTTGACACGAGGAACATCTGCTCATCTGTCATCAAAAGGTTCCGCTGTTCCAACGTGGCTCACCTAATTCAACAGACATCCTTGAGCAGGCGGCGCAAATGAGACAGAGAGGGATGTGCAGCGCTGTGAAGTTGTTGTTTTGTAGGAGCGAGGGATGATGAATCACAGGCCTGCTCTCTGTGGACACTTGCTTTGTAAAAACGTATGCATGGTGGGAAACGTGTGGGGGAGCGGGGAAATCTCTTTGCAGTGGATAGGGACTTTCACTCGCTGTGCGTGTGTGTGTGTGTGTGTGTGTGTGTGTGTGTGTGTGTGTGTGCCTGTCAATATGTGGAAATCTTACATTTTTGGGAAACGGATAAGGGAACTGAGGCAGAGTGCTGTTTCCTGTAACTGTCTCTCAGAGGCATCTACTCATTTTTTAAACACTGGAATGGCTCCCTCTGGGTCGCAGCAATGACTTGCTCACTTTAAAGGAATAATTTAACGTTTTGGGAAATGCACTTATTTCGATTGCTGCCACTCTAATGTTTGTAGGGTAAATATGCAGCCACTGCCAGGAGCTGGCTAACGTAGCTTAGCATAAAGACCGGAAGCAGCTAGACTGGGTCTAACTAAAGATAACAAAATCTCGGTGGTGGAATGTTATTAAGGACATTTACTCTAGTACTGTACTACAAATTCAAGGTACTTGGACTTAACTTGCATTTTGATGCTACTTTCTGCTCAGCTACGTCTCAAAGGTTAATATTGTACTTTTTACTGCGCTACATTTGTCTGATGGCTTTAGTCACTTTTGTCAGATTAGATTTTTTCCTCCTCTTACTGTCGAGTGGAAACCACGTACTGTATCTCCAGATATGTTGTATTGAGTGTTTCTGGTAATCTGAAGGATGACGTGTTCCTTTATTTGTTCCTACTTCTGAAGCTAAATCAATTGTTTCAAAAGCCTCTTGGATCACCTTGAACATGCATTGTCGCAAAGCTGAAAACAGGGTTTCCTGAGCCCATGAAAAGTGGACTTTTTAGAGATGCGTGGATCTCACAGAACAGCGACGCAACAAACATATGATGGTCTTATCGAATGTGATACATTGATGTGGATTAGCCCACTGGCCGCCATAACGGAAGTTCTCTCTGGCTCCACACACCCTGGGAAGTATCACACGAGAGATGAGTGTTAAATGAGAGGAAGAATAGATGGAGCAGGGCTTCAGCCTAAAGCACATCGACCCCCCCCCCTCGCAGCTCTGACTGCCTGCTCTCTGTGTCTGATAAATGCCTCTCCTCATTTTGATTTACTGTGCAGTTGTGCTGGGTGCATGCAGGGTGAGGTCGGTAGAGGGGTGTCAATACACAACGAAGTATGGACCCCCCCCCCCCCCACCCCTCTTCAGTTTTTTTTCCCGAGTTACGGTCTGCATGGGGCGAGCTTCAGGAGCACTCTGTTGTGAAATTTCATTTCACGCTTTGCGTGTCTATTGATTTCTGTTGGTCTTTAGACAAAATCAGTCAAGCTATTGTCAAAAGGCCGAGTCCCCTCTGCCCTCGCTGTCTTGAGAAGGACAGAAACAGAGCGAGGAAGTGTGAAGGTTTTTTTCTTTTCTTAAAGTGTGGATATGTTGGATGACTGAGCATCTGTGTGTGTGTGTTTTGTCTTGGTGCCACTTTACCTTTACTCTTAGAGGCCTGAGTCTCGGCCTCCTTCGGCGTTCGGAAGCGCAGGGGTTCGCTCAGCGGGCTCGTCCCAGACATGCTGATGGACTGGACATGCACGATGTAGTCTGTCTCTTCCTCCAAGTCCCATAATGCACAGGAGCGCGTGGTGGTGTTGACTTCCTGGATGAATCGCAGCATGCGCACATCTTTCTTCTGTTGGGAGTGGGACACGGGAGAGGACGGTGAACGTTGTTCACAGCAGGGGGACATGTGTTTTGTGTGCTGTCATCGCGCTCTACAACAGTGGTGGGCATTGACTCACTGAGGGGGCAGTGGTGAAAGAAAAAGGGCACCACCCACTATTGAGAGGGTTATGGTTTGACTTTATATTCACACAATCAGGAGGAGTGTTCAAGAGGCCTTCTGGTGTGACATTATGGCAAAACTTATGTTCGGGAAAGTGTTTAGGGCAGCACCAGGAGAACAGAGTAGTCCTGGTTCAATAAAAAGTATATTACCATATTTGAACTCTGAGAGCAATGCTGCTGTTGTACAGCGCTAGTTCAATATTTTAGGAAATTACATTTATTTGACAGTCTTGCCGCGTGACAGATGGAGAGATTGAAACCACTTTCGTGTCTGTACGGTGAATATGGAGCTGGAGCCAGGGGTCGGTTAGCTTAGCTTAGCATGGAGTAGGGGAAAAGAGCGAGGTGCATTCATGTGCTGAATGCAGCTTCGTGTTTTTCACGCAAAAGCGGCATCGATCTCCTCATCGTTGTAGTCAAATCTACAAATTCAGACAGACAGCATGCAAGTATTGCAACAGTGCAGGTCAGGTTCCTAGAAGAAGAACAAAAAAAACCCTGTATAATGTATCAGCAACAATCACAATATAGGCAGTAGTATATTCCTGCTGATACTTAATTTGCATTTCTGGAAAGAGCACAACGTTGAGTGTTGTTTGCACCTTCGGAACATCACAGTTCACCTCGACAGCATCTCTACTTCCTCTGCACACACGCCTCTGTACCACTGTGACCCACACTGCCCCTGAAGCTGTCCTCCTCAATCACGTCACGTCACTCCCAGCTGCTGTGTACATGTGTGTGTTTGTGTTCATACAGTCACGCTTGTAAAGCAATGCGTTTAATGTCTGTCCTTATGTGTGAACCTGAGTAATGCGTGTGCATGCGTGAGTGAGTTTGTGTGTTTATGTGTTTATGTGCGCACGATGGCAGCATATAATCTCACATTTCACCCGCGTCACAGAGCTGTCAGCGTCTGCTGTTGTCAGAGAGCACCCAGGCAGTCCGACAGGATCCATTGCCTGTGATAATTCCCATAATGCACTCTGACTCTGAGCAAGGGAGCGACACGGTAATGAGAAATGCACATGGCAGCAGCAACAGCCAGTGATTAATTCAATTAGTGTGTGTGTTTGTGTTCTTTATCCACCCTGTTGTCAGGACATTTACATGTATATCCAGTATGTGCTGCGTGTGAGCTGCTCACCTGCTGTGTAATGGCAAAGCCAATAACGGGGTCTCCCTCGGGGATGTCCCATGTCACCACAGCAGAGTTTGCTTTCACCGCTTTGATGGTCACATTGACAGGAGGCGACAAGCTATCTGCAAACAGAGGGAGAGAGAAAGAGAGAGAGAGAAATGAAAGCCTGTTTTATCTTCTGCGGTATGAAGCAAATGAGAAGTCCTGTCGCTCGCAGAAATGGCCAACGAGTAGAGGAGGACAAAACAATGCCTCAGACACTGCAGACTGGATGTATGTGAAAGGGTTGAAATTAAGTTTTAAGAGTTTCAATTCTGTTTGAACAAGTTTGGAAATGGATCGGATGGATTGCCATGAAATGTTTGTGCAGACATTCATTGTGGCCAGAGGATGAATCCTTGCCCTCTCGCACCATCATGAGGGTCGATATTTGTGGTTTTGAGTAAAACGTCTCACCAACTATTGGATGGATTGCTCAGATATTTCCTCATTACCAGCAGGACAAAAGTTCAACGTGTCCAATACCTTTTTGGTTTATGACCAAAGACCTGCAGAGCTTCCCATCAGCCCGGGCTGCACTTTGTGTTTAGGCAGAGGGAGCTAATGTTGGCTAAACTAAGATGGGGAATATTGTGAACCTGCTCAGCATGTTCTTCATCGTCAGTGCGTTTCCATGGTGACATAAGCAATTAGCTCAGAGGGCTGCTCTGCCTAAGTGTAGCCGGCAGGCTTTTATCTGTTTGGCACTCAGCACACACGTTTCAGTCATTCAAAACGTTCCTTTTCAGTATTGCACGGACTTCTAATACCACAGTTTTAATGATGAAGACAGAGCAGCCCAAGTCAACTAGACCATGAACCAATAAGAGGTCAACCAACCATAACTGTGCCAGGGAGAAATAATGAAATCTGTCCGTACTGCACCCTGGATTTATCATATTCTGTCTCTCTGTCTGTCTGTATGAGCTAACCTAATGGCTACAGATATTCAAACACTAAAAAACTTTTATGGGAAAAGCTTCCAATTCTACGCTTGGGTTACTCACCCTAAAACCCAGGTGGACATTACTGCAGTATTTCAAACTAAGAAATAGCATTTTGATTCCAGACAAAACACAACATGTTGCATGACCAAACAACAATTATGATTCCGGAATAAAACTCTTTCTCATTAAAACAATGTGTTCATAGTTGAACTGAATGAAAGTCTTTCCATTGACAAGAAGTCCTCATTAAAGTGTGTCCACTGACCTGTTTAAATATTTTGTGAAGTTCTGCATCAGAGCGGGAAAACAAGTAGGATTAACTTGAAACAGCGGGGTCACAGGCTGCAAGATTTGACAATAATGACTTGGTTTGGTGAAATGATTAAGTGTGAGATTGTGTGTGTGTTCATGACACGTGAACTTTGGTGGCTTCAGCTGCGGCAAAATAAGTCTCTGTAATTACTGTATTACGTGTTGCTCCAGACTGCACAGCACACACCTTGTCAGACATAATGGAGAGAACGGTACACCAAGAGCCTTGCAGTACAGGTGAGACAATCTCCATCTATTGTGACACGAAAGCATGACGGTATGCACCGTGGTGCCAGAGAGGGATCATCGTGTAAATGTAATCAGTCATGACTGCCAAAGTCTGCTCTTGGTTTTGGTTTAGAGGCCTGAGGGGCTCATTAAACGTCATTAACACTGTGAGTGGGTAGAGCTCTGAACTGCTGCCTAATGAATTTCTAAAAGAAAGGCAAGGGAATAATCAATCACTCAATAGAACCTGTTGATTTGAGGATGCTCTGTATAAATTAGGATATGTGACCAAATAAGTTGCCTGAGGAGAGTGCCCAAACAAGTTCAGATATCTTCCAAATGAGGACGTTCTCAATTAGACATTCGTTATTATTCAGTTTTATGGATTTTAATTTCATATGCAACGCTTATTTTATTTATACGCACTCAAATTTGCTTTCTCGCAGTTAGATGACAAGGTATCGATTCATACCACTCTCGTGCCTCTACACTAAACAGCTAGCCTGGCTCTGTCCTGATAGCTTAAGTAGCTTTCGTGCGCTTTTACCAAACAAGACATAATTGAGGGATTAGTGAGCTCCAGAGGTGCCAGTAGAGGGATTTTGTTACCTGTGGACAGAGCCAGGCTAGCGGACACCAAGTCTTCTGAGTCACAGAGGCCTTTTTGGGGTTGATTGATATTTGTAATGTGAACCAGAGGCGAGAGAGATGAATAGGGACGAGGAGAAGCGGTCACTCTCAGCGGTGCCGCTCCTGTGTCATCGACGGGATGTAAATCTATTTCAGCTCACCAAATGCAGTCAATGGGTTATTGAGTAGGTTAACGCTCACTTGCCCTTCAACGGGTACAAATCACACAGCTGGTAATTGCAGGATGATGGGCCGCTGTAGCACTTGCATGCACGCTGACACTGTAATGTACATTCAGAGACATCGCACCGTATCCCAGAGGGCCCCTGTGTTACATCTCCGCCCGCCCGCTGCTGAACGTTTTGATGGATGGCCTGCCCCTGTGTTACATCTCCGCCCGCCCGCTGCTGAACGTTTTGATGGATGGCCTGACTAACGGCACATAACAGGATGGAGACCCGCTGCATCTCATCATCAGCTGGGAGTCTGATGTTTGAGATGGCTTTGCTTTTGAGGGGTGGGTGTTTCGGGAGGACGGGGCTGAGGGGACTGAAGAGTTCACAAATCAAACTCATTAACTCTTGGTTTTTTCGCCCTCACTGTCTTTCTCTCTCTTAATGCAAAAACACACAGTGACCGGTTAACGTCAACCTCCCAACGCCCCTCAGGGAACACATTATTTTCCGTGACTCTTTTTTTTTGTTTGCTCGTTCAAAAACGTTCTTTCAAATTGGAAATATCTATGTTTTCTTTCTCCTCTTTCAGCTCTGACGAGAACCGTGAATAAAAAAGGGACCGTATAGTGATTTACTATTGCACTTTCATAAGGTGGGGACTGGAGACTTGTGAGAACCAGAAAACAATAAATATATTAAAAAAATAATCAAAAATCAGTGCAGCAGAGCTATTTGATATCACAACCTAGAAAGTGTTATATATAGTTATATTATATGTACAAAAACTATAGTTTGTTGTATTTATGAAAATATAGAACACGAATAAAGACAATTCTTGACATTTTACTGCAATTTTACCTGATATAACAATATCAAACTCTTATGAAGAGCTCAGTTTGCTGCAGCAGTTGAGGAATCGCTCTTTGTCGCTCATCTCCAGCATGACACTTTTCAGCACATGCTGTGTGCTTGTTCTGGAAGCATACAGGTAAGCCAGCATCGTTGGCAGTGAAAGCAAATTAATACGTCCACGCAGAGTTAAACTCTCTATTTTCCTCCGTGACTTTTCTTTATTTGGATTTATCCATTGATAGTTTACCGATGGCGGGGGTCTGAAAATCATGATTAGCCGTTCGCGTTCGCAGGGAAAAGCACTTGACAGGGGTAGAGGATTTAACTGCCTGTGGGAATAATTAACATATAAGATTCTGTTCATTCCTGCTTATAAATTATATTCTCTCTGAACACGTTTCTCTTTTTGGAGAGTGTCATGCGATATATTTTCTTCTATCAGCGCAATTTCCCTGTTCTTCTTTATATTTCCTCGTCTCAGCCCGTGTGTCACGGTGTGTATAAACCTCACTCGAGTCAGGAAACTTGTCAGAATACCCATATTTGATTGGCTGAGCTGCATCACCTGATGTGATTTGCAAAGCATTGGTCGGTGTGTTTCCTGCACCGCCGAACAAGTGCCGTAACGGCTGAATAAGAGGCGCCGGTTAAAGTATAAAATCGGATTTAGGTCCTGGGTCCGGAACCGGTCCGCCAGTTAGGGACCCCTGATGTAGACTCAGGGAGCCGCAACAGAGGGGCTGAAGAGCCGAATGCGGCTCGCGAGCCGCAGGTTGCCGACCCCTGTCCTAGTGAGACAGCCAACACGACAGCCAAAATGTCAAAGTAACAAAGAGTAACTGGTATCAGCAACTGTAATGTAATTACTGCATTTCAAATAGTTATTCCTTCCACTAACAGCTTCCACACCAGCCTAAAATAATTCAACCAAATGTGCAAACACAAACTGACTGCACCCTACAGGTTGGGTGTGAAAGCACTGGTGGTATGAGTCAAGCTCAAAAATACACACAGGATCCCACACTCCCCCATAATTCAACTTAATAGGTACAGTACGTTTTGTAACACAGGCTCTCCTGCCTGAGATTGGGGGCTCGACAAAGGCTCCATAAAGCTCCTGCAGAGCCACAGAAGACATGTTCACTGATCTTTAATTTTAGTGCAAGTCTTCAAACGGCTCCATTAGGCTGTGGAGAAAAAAGATGTCAGCTGATTTTGACGTTAACCATGTTGACTACATGAATATAAAATAGTATCTTCCAGAGGGATGGTAGAAGCAGTCTGGTGTCACTCTACCCATCTCTGATCCCATTAATCACATGACATCAGTCTCACCCATGAGACTCTACCCGAGAGGACAGCCGTCACTTCCCACCTGTCAACGCTTCACAATGGCTGCCCACAATCTTTCCAATGATCCAATCACACCACTTCAAAACAAACCGACCACGGTGATCTAGAAGTGCGTCTCCGAGCCGTGGCGTGTGGGAGTCGGTGAAGGCATCAGACCACGTAACGAAGTCCGCGTCCTTGTAGCCGACCGCGGTGAAACTGAAGGGTCATCTCTGCACTCATCTTCATCGTCATCTTCGCCTGCTGCAAAGCCCTTTTGAAATTTGAACTTCCTTTCCCACTGGATGATCTTAGAATAATGATGTTTGCATTGATGTTTGCAACTTTTGAATAATGAAGTAGAGTGGAGCACTTCTTTTGTTTGCAATTATTGTGTCTTCAAGTCTCACCTGGAGGACATACCTTGATCTGTCTGAGACGCTGCGATTAAAGGAAACATATTGTGCTCATTTTCATTTTCATACTTGTATTTTGGGTTTCTTCTAGAACATGTTTACATACGTAAATGTCATTATTTTTCTCATACTGTCTATCTGAATATACCTTTATTCTTCCTCTGGCCTGAAACGCTTAGTTTTAGCGACT